AGATAGCATCGATATCGATTGGTTCAACAAGTAAACCAATCCTCAAACGTCAATCGAGTATAATCTGTGGAAATTGGTTTTTGTGATAGACTTTTTACTTTTAGGAGTAACATACGGCAACGAAAAGTGAAATTGTTGGGAATTTTCTCTTTTACAGCTTCTCTACCTTAAATCCTAAAATTTGTGTTTGAAGTTATCAACGATACATCGAACCACTATCGAATCCGATACATTGATAAATTCGACTTTGGTACCGGCAACGAATTGGTCGGTGATTTTTCACTCGGGTTGGCAGCGTCGCGGGAAAACGGCGACACTGAGGAAGGAGCGTCTCCTCCGAGAGAAGGAGAAAGTCGCATCAGTCTAGTGGCGAGGCGTGAATAATCGAATATCGATATTTTCCAAATTTTCCCATTGACGCAGTGGTAAAAAATCGATTATTGAGGTGTTCGTTGCGAGCCTCTTCCAAAGATTTAACTACCCGAATTTTTTGGATGATGTGGGCATTCCCAGTTAATTGTGGTAGTACCGCAACTCAAGTTGGGATAGTGCCGCAACATTTGGGTTAGTACAGCAATTTATTGGGATACTACCACAGTTGGATTGCATTTTGCAAAAAGGAACCACTAGCATTGCAATGTTGCTAAGATTGTGCAACTTCTTTTGTCTTGGAGGAAAAACCCGATTATCCATTAATAGTTTCTATTTTAATCGCTAAAAACTGTAAATTTAAGACAAAAATTACCATCTAAATTTCATATTTTTTCACGATTTCCGCAATTTTATTGCGAAAGATGAAGTTGCACAATCTTAGCATCATTGCAATGCTAGTGATTCCTTTTTACAAAATGCAATCCAATTAATCGGGTGTACTTCCACAATTAATTGGGGGTACTTCCACAATTAATTAGAAAGGCCGATATAATACATCAATCCCTACCTCTTTCACCTCCGTGTCGAAATGTCTTCTTATCATATTTCTGTCTGATATTTAAATCAATACTTTGACAAAATTTGTTCGATATCTCCGTTTTTGCTTGCTCCCGCTATGATATGGATTCAACTTGAATCACGTATAATACTCGCGTCTTATACGGCCTCTAACGACGTCTCGTTCGAAGACCACTCCACCGACGCAACGCCGAAAGCGCCGGGTGCCAAATGGTCGGCAGATCGTTACAAGGCGGCTTGGCGCGGCACTTGGATTTTATTTGTCGGCGAGTCGTAAAGGTTCATCGCCGAGCGATCTCCGCTTCGCCGTTGCGTTCATCAAGCAACTAAAACGTGCATCGGTGCCAGCGCTGCCCTCGGTCACAGTCGAACCGTGCTTTGCGATACATCGATTGATCTGCCATATAATCATACGGAAAAAGATCGATCAAATGGGTGTTCGCAACGGACACCTTAATAATCGATTCTTTACCACGGTTTCAAATGAGGAATATCGATGATCGATCATTCGCGCCTCGCTACTGGGTCGGACCGGGACCGGAACGGCACGACCCGGTCGGGCGGCTTTTTTCGGTGCGCCGAAATGGACGAGACACGCATTCGACACCGATTCCAGTAGGCGCAAAAAAAGACGGCTCCGCGCTGGAGGCCCAGCTAAAATCCCGGTGAATCACCCGAGTTTCGCGAACGGGCAAGATCTGTCCGAAAGAAGACGGAACTTGTCCGAGGTCGGAAGGTTTGAACCGTGTTAAACAGAAACGCATCCAGTCGCATCATACTGGAAAAAAAAAAACACATTGGATCTAGAGTCCGGACTCTTGAAAACATTGACAAGAAAAAATACTCTCGATTCAATCGGATTTTTGCTTGAATCAAAACGAAATCCGCTTAAATTAAGAGGCTTGGTTCTTGATTTAAGCTAGATTCTGATTGAATCAAGAGTACTTTCTCTTGTCGATGTTTTTAAGAGTCTGGACTCTAGATCCAATATGTTTTTTTTTTTTTTTTTCCAGTGCAAGTTTGATCTAAAGGCGAGGCGTTAATGATCGATTGTCGATCTTTCTCCATTACAAGCTGTGGTAAAGAATCGATTACTGAAGTATCCGTTGCGAAATCCTGTACATCGATCCTTTTCCGTAGGTTTAAATGGCAGATCAATCGGTATATTGCAAAGCACGACATGCCACTGGTTTACCATTTATCACATATTAGTCTGGACGGACGATTAAGCTTTTGAACTTGCCACCAAAATCACTGATTTTTACGAATGTTGAACTATAGTCCAGTCAATTTAGCTCTAAATAAGGGTCATCTGGGAAAATCCATATATAGAAGGTTTTTTTGCGGAAACATGTTACATTAGGCTACCAGAACAACATATCAAAAGTTTACCAAAATCGGCCGTCCGCTAAGGCCGCCATCTTGAAAAAAGGGGGGGCNCGCTCCGGGGGCGGACCCCCTAGTGAATTCATAAGCATTTTTAGCATGGAAATTTCATGCTCTTTCATTCCGGTGAGAAAACTTTTTTGCCTCAGACTCGCCGTTTTTAAGATAATTACAGATTTTGTTGAAAAAACGTGATTTCTCGCAAGATTTGACTTTCCTAGCCGCAGGAAACTACCGCCATATCTCACGAACCAGAATTCGCAACTTGATAAATGTATAGTGTTTCTAAAAGGAAATTTTATGATCTTTTTAAAAGGTTCAGTGACATTTTTCCGTAGGATCGATATTTTTCAAGATATAAGCTAATTACCGGTTGCCGGCGGCGTATTTTGGCCCCCCGCCCCCCCTTTTTTCAAGATGGCGGCCTTAGCGGACGGCCGATTTTGGTAAACTTTTGATATGTTGTTCTGGTAGCCTAATGTAACATGTTTCCGCAAAAAAACCTTCTATATATAGATTTTCCCAGAAAAATGCTAGATTGACTGGACTACTACTCAAACTGGACCGGCCAAACAACTGACCAAGGCCTGGCCGATGAGCGTCAATCTTCTTCGTTCGTCCAAGCACTTAAAATTTCATACGGAAAAACATGCAATTTTAAAAAAAAAGAATGAAATGAAAGAAATTCTACTACCGTTGCAACTTGTTCAAAAGGGGATTTCAGAAAGTCAAAGCTTGAATTGGCCTTAACTCTGGAGTGCGCCGTGAGTTGGCATCATCGGCCTAAACTGGGTGACAAGGGTCATAAAACACACGTGTAAGCGTGCTGATGGTGCTAACAGGTGGCTTACCGGAACCGTAGATCCTGCTTGTCGGATTGAGGGAAAAATTCAAGGATTTTCCAACTTTTGGGCAATAATTCGCGATTATCCCTTGATTAGGCAACGTTGCTTAACTTTCCAACTTGATCCAAGTCCAAGAGAGACATAGTTGTCAAGTTATAAATTATCGTGAAATATATACCCAGATACGAAAAACACTACAGAGACAAACGCTAAACACACCGGGAAAGGACGTGCCTTTATGGTCCAGTTACATGATCAAATTGAGCCATCAAATTGAAGCTCTGATTGGTGGAAAAAGACCTGAGGTGGGGATGCGACCAATGAGAGGCCCAATTTGATGGCTCAATTTGATCGTGTAACTGGACCATTACAACGAAGGAACACACTTGCAGCTACAGCGCTCCCTACTTCATGTAGTTGTCTGTGGCGCGTAATGCTTGGCGATGAATCGATTTATCTGACATTTAAACCTATAGAAAAGGATATTAGGGTATACCTTACTGATCGATTCTTTACTATCGCTTCCATATCGATAGTCAATGATATACGCGCTTCACCAATAGTTTTTTTTTCAACTTGGCAAGGCAAGAATGAGATGAGCTGAGGAACGAGTTAGCATAAGCTCATCGCATTACCGTTCATTGTCAGGGTGGTGACTCATTAAGAGATGCCGGATTGATAATCATCCTTTTCAGTGGGGAGAAACTTGAGGAATTAGAATAATTCTGAGGACAATCTGACGCCTGAAATCGGGATGCATTTGAATCATACCGGGGTCAAAGCACGCTCCGTAGCTTTGCTATTCAATGCGTTCATCTCTCATCCCTGACTTACAATATGAACTAACAAATTGAAAGACCGCTTCTAACTTCCTGCCTATTTTATTATTTTAATGACTCATAATTTACTTAAACAATATGCACACCGCTAGAAGTATTGCTTGTCATGATGAAAAACCTTTTACCTACAAACGGCTAAATTGTCTAAATAATTTAAGATTGAAGGAAACGTATTTTTAGCTCAGGAAAACTGATGAAATTTATTTTTATTCTCCGATAGAAACAATGATGAGGCTATTTAGATGAAAACTTTTTCGTTGCTCTGAATAAAAAAATCAATTAAGGCCCCACGAGCCTAAAACGGTAAGGTATATGTAGAATATACTGCGAAACAATCTGTAAATTCTTTGACATTGTTTGTGACTTGGTAAATGTTGTGTCTTTTATTATTATGATTACAATGGATCGTTTTCGATCCACCAAACCGGGTTTCTATTGCTGAGATATTATCCATTTCGATGGTTCAAAATGTAAACATAGCTTCAAAAGTCTAACGATTAATTTGTGAGAACAGGTTTTTGTGACTGATTTTGGATTCTCATGAGTACGACATGCCAATGGAAAGTGAAATTGTCAGGAATTTTCTCTTTCTTAGCTTTTCTAACTTAGATCTTAACATTTCTGTTTGAGGCGATGCTCTATTACTTTGAACCAAACGATACACCAATCCACTATCGAATACAATCCGTAAGTGCACGTGAGACTTGTTCTGATGTGTATTCCGCTACGCATAGGACCTTGAGGCACGATTCACTTTCTGAGAATTCATCATGAAAACGATATTTTTGCGGAAATTTCTCGCTTATATCTTGTTATTTCAATTTTAATTAAACAATCTCTGGTTAATTTTCCTATAATTGGCTGATAAGATAACCCCACAAAAAAACTTCCCGTCTCGACAAGAATCGACGCCATAAAAACAGTGCCCGTAGACGCCAAGTCAGCGCCAGGAAAAAAACAAACTATAAATGTTTCTTACCTTGACTAGATAAGCGATATGGCCTCTTTGAAGGGTATCTGGAGGATGAATCCAATTTCTGTTGTCTAAAACACAAGAAAAAACAAAAATCAGCTGTGCAAGCAAAAATATGTAAGTGAAAAAAATTAAAAATAAGTGCGGTTCACAAACATGAGCGCCCAGACGATAACAAAGAAAAAAATGCGTTCAGTGACCAGGCCATTAATTTATCTGTCTGATTATGAGCAGGTCAACATTCGTAGAAATCAGTGATTGCGGTGGAGCGAAGGATTGAGAATCCTCCGGACAAATGCTAGAGAAATAGAATCCAAGGATTTTGGGAAATCGGAAAAAGGTGGCTTTGAAAATATAAATAATAGATTTGAGATCTGAACAGTCCAAAATAACCTTGGCGAATAAAATTCAAGGAAAGTTATCAATTTTGAAAGTTCTTTTATGAAAGTCAATTGTGTAAACTTGGGATGGAGTTACGTTACTTTGCCCAGAAAACGGCGAGATGTGTCCCTTTTTGGGCGATTACGTTATTCTACATGATTTTCAAGAATTATTCTTAGCACGGGAACTCGATTTCATAAATTTTTTATACGTGTGATAGAAACGAGACGAGGCTATATGCGTAATTTCTGAAAACAGTTGCAAGGAAGTTTCTCCATACCACGTGTCAGGGGGTGACTGACCCATCACTGCCATGCAATGGAAGAACGCCGTATAATCCTTCACGCGTTGCCAAATTTCCATCGATAAAACAACAAATTTCCTGATAAACTTGTGAATATTTTCCTTCCAATTTTTCAGATGATTTTGTTCGTAATTTCACCTGAAGTTCCTGAAAATTTCAAGGAAAAATATGCATAACGTTCCGCGCATAAAGAAACATTTGGACGTATTTCTACCGAACAGACCTACGTGGAGGTGAGAAATATGGGGTGTGCTGGTCGAGGCTGGATAAGAAGCAATGTAAAAGTGGGCGTGATTCCTTTTGTAGAATTGGAAAAGCGGGATATTACATTCTATCAAACAGACCTATGTGCCAACTGAATGCGGCAGTCATGAGCCGCGGGCATGGCAAGAGAGCGTTGTGGACAGGGCTCATGAGTTAAAGACTCCCTCCAACGACCTCCCCGTTGTGCCGGCGCTCGTTCGTTGCCGCTGACGTCACTGGCGCTTTAATATTCTCATTCACTCTTACGCAAAGAGAACTAAGGAGCACATCCCATATTTCTCACTTGCACATAGGTCTGTTTGGTAGAAATACGTCCATTTACCGAAGGAAATTCGGCAACTCTCGAATGTTCATACGGCGTTCTTCCTTAGCACGGGAGAACAGCCGACACCTTGGCTCGGAATCGGCCGGAACGATTCCACTCGTTTGCGGAGATTCGCATTCGTACTCACGTCACGTCACGTCGACGGTTACGAAGATAGAGCGATCAAAGGAGGAGGGAACTGTTTCCAAAGATGAATAGATAATTAGATAATTCCCCTCCCATCTCCGTGGGAGATCGCGGATTCGCCACACTTATGGGAACAGCTACTCGCGACCCCGGAGCCCGGAGTTAGCGCATGAAACCGCTGACGCTGACTCCGTTTCCACGGTAATCAGAGAGTAGGACCGAGCGGGGGCTACGGGCACCGGGTATAAGACAGATGAGGGTCCGCGGGAGAATGAGGCCAGCGGGTATGATCGGATGACCACCGCACCGATCAGATGGATACGTAACAACGGAGATCTCTCGTGGAAAAAAGTCAGAAACTGTTCCGGGCTGCAACGCACCAAGATTGCGAGACGTATTCCACCTCAACTCTTTTCGTCGAGGAGGCCTCAGACCAGTGCTTCCATTTCCCGGAACTAGTTCCGAATTTCGGAACTTTTAAGATTTTTTTGAAGTTTTCCCGGAACTTTTGAAATTCCCAAAATGATCCGGATCTTTTGCATTTTCCGGAACTTTTGAAAAAACCTAACAGGAATCCCGGAACTTTTGACAACCATGGAGTGGGAGAAATCGGAACAACTAAGTTCCGAATCCCGGAACTTTTGACGGACATGGAATGGAAGCACTGCCTCAGACAGTTTACATCGAGGAAATCATCGAGAAAGGTGTAAGGAAAGTTAGAGTACCTGTGTACGGGAGAGTATTGCCATCTCTGTGCCGGTCTCTGGTTGGTTCGCCAGTTTTAGGTTATCATATAGCTCCAAAGATGGACCAATGTAAACAAACCCGACACGGAGGAATACGTATTATCGGCTGAGAAATGAATGATAATCGCACTCAAAGGTTAATTTTCGGCAAAAATATCCAATAATGGTGAACTCAATTCAGAAGTTGATCATAAAAACTAGAAAACGTGGAACTTTGTCGCCGTCTTGTTTGTTTACATTGGGCCAAACTAGAAGCGGAGGGGCTGGGGTTTGTTTTCATTGGTCTAACTTTGGGGATCCATGATGGCTGACCAATCAGAGAGCGGCACACTTTTTCTGTGAGATGGCAATACTCTCCCGTATACAGGTACTCCATTCCACCACACATTTTATCGCCGAGGAGGCCTCAAGACAGTTTACATCGAGGAAATCATCGAGAGAGGTGTATGGACAATCGAGAACGAAAATGGAGACTGCTTCGTTGCCGCTGACGTCACTAGCGCTTTAAAATCCCCATTCATTCTTATGGCCCTCAACTAACGAGCACACAGGAAGAAAAAAAACCACATTGGATCTGAAGTCCAGACTCTTGAAAACATCGACATGAAAAAATACTCTTGATTCAATTAGATTTAAGCTTAAATCAAGAACCAAGCCTCCTAATTTGAGCAGATTTCCTTTTGATTTAAGCTTAAATCTGATTGAATCAAGAGTCCTTTTTCTTGTCAATGTTTTCAAGAGTTTGGACTCTAGATCCAATGTGTTTTTTTGTTTTCCAATGCACACTCCATCTTTCTACTTGCACATACTTCCATTTAGCATAAGTACGTCCATTTGGGCGACTAGAAAAAAACTAAATGGGGAAAAAGAGAAGCAAAAAAGAATATGAACACAAAAAAAAAAAAATAGAAATTTGTAGGCGAAGAAAAGGAGGATGTGACGGCGAGAAATATCCAGGAGCATGGGAGAGGATGTGCGAGGGCACGGCGCGCTGCACACACGCCTGCGCGCGTGCGATGCGATCATACTCGATTTCCGGTTTGGGAGACGATAGACGAACCGGATTCGGAGCTGCAGGAGACTCGTCCGCTCCGGGCTCCGCTCGCACTCCTCGCCTATTCACCGGCTACATACACGCACTCGCCTCTCATACACGAGATCCCCGCTTAATTATTTCACTATCCCCCAAAATCCGGCTACTTTTCAGACCACCAAACAGCTGTAAGCAGCTCTCTTTTTACTACAGAAAAAGTGTGCCGCTCTCTGATTGGTCGGCTATCATGGAGCCCCCAAAGTGGACCAATGTAGACAAACCCCAGCCCCTCCACTCCTACTTTGGCCCAATGTAAACAAACAAGATGGCGACAAAGTTCTAGACGTGATTTTGGATGTGATGGAAATTTTCTCAAATCCAATTGCTTGGACGGCAACTTAGATGGATTTTAATGCCAAAAGTTAACCTTTGAGTTTGATTATCATTCATTTCTCAGCCGATAATACGTGTCCCTCTGGGTCGGGTTTGTTTACATTGGTTCACCTTCCTAGCTCCATGACAGCCTAAAACTGATGAACCAATCAGAGAGCGGCACAGATATGGCAATACTCTCCCGCATACAAGTACTCCGGCCATGAGTATACGAATTCTTTTAAAATACGCTGCAAAGCGATATAATTGCTCTAGCACCGCGGGTAAAAAAACGAAAAAAAAAACTTTGGCCGAGTTAGTGTAGCGATGACTCGACAGCGAACTGATTGCTGAAATTGTTGGACAAAGCTATAGACAAAGAAGACAAAGGGGATATGGAGTGATCCTATTGGGGGAAGCAGGTGATTGCAACGAACAACGGCAGAGGATGAAGAAGAGAAACATCACCTCGTCTGTGCTAAAGTGCCAATATGGGAAGAGTACCGACAAGTCAGAATATGGAGCTGTTGGGGCCCAAAAAGGCGGCAAACCTCCCGACACGAAAAACATAAAAAAAAGTATCGCTGCCGTTCTCCAGATTCCAATATCAAAGCAAAATGGCCAAGAATGTTCATAAATAATCGTCCTTCCGCAAAAATGAGTAAAATGCAGAACTGAGTCAAATACACACTTTACGAACAACAGGTCATAACGATTGAAAGAATAAATCCTGACCTACCCTCTAAAATTACCGACGAGTCCGTATACTCTCCTCATATAGGCACTCAGTCTGTGCAGGATGACTGTGCGGGGCTCCTGCAAGACGGTGAGCCGGAATTACTCCGGGAGAAGGTTGGGGGGGAGGGGGGAGAGTCACTACTGCGTGACAAAGCCGAAAATTAGAGCGTGACAAGGCTTGAAAAACACTCATAACCCAAACTGGCTGGCGATCCGCAACGCTTAAACCGAGTGAGCTTAAACGGCAAAGTCACATTCGCATCGTCGTCGTTGTCACTTGGACGTACTTCTGCCAAACGGAACTAGTGCACTCAGACATGAGCCCTGAGACCCATAAGAGTATACGAATGACAGGGCTCACGTCATAATGCACATAATTGCGCCTGGCATAAATACGTCCACTTCAGTCTATCTCCTTACGAAAGGGGACAGGCTCGATTTCTGCTCGCACAAACATTAGTGAAAACGTACAGAGGAAGGAAAAGGTATAACTGTGGCAACATGGCATGTCCGCTAAGATATAAGACGCGAAAAGCACAATTCGCGAGGCGTCGTCGCTGCCGAACTGAAGTGATAAAAATTCACGATGGTTTCCTCGAAATATAGATGGTGAGTTCCAATGGGAAGAAAAATGCACCTGATGCTTCATTTATCATTGAAGAAAAACGGAGAAATAGGTACAGTAAACCACGAATTATCCGAACTAATGTGACGTTCGGCCTGCTCGATGGCCGGGGGGTGAGGAAATGACTTCGGATAACCCGGAGGTCGGATGATCCGTG